GAAATAACTGTCCAAAGGTTATTAACCCAATGTAGAAGGTCGGAAAACTGCTCTGCAACTGGTGTTCCAGGAAATAAAAGCAGCAATAAAAAAAAGCAATAAAAGCAATCCGGGAAATAGAAACACAGACACGGCCAACAAAACACGTATGCAATGGTTCTCCCTCCGGGTGACGCGCTTAGTATACGCGGCCCATCTCGGTACCCTTGCGAAGTTTCATCGCGCTCTGGCAGATGGTTTGCATATAATCTCAACCTCTAGAAACATGTGAAAGATTGCTGACTACTGTAGCCATATGATATATCATATGAATGTTATTACTGTATCATACTGTAGTATACTACTCCATTTTAGGAGTGTTTAGGAGTTTGTTTTAGTGAGAGAACGAAAAAGCAGTGGCACATCAAAATTTTTATTTTTCTAAGAAAAAACAAAAACAACAAATAACAAAGCCCCACGCCTGTGCCTTCAGCAATTGCACATGTTCCTGGTCTCCTTCCTTCACCAGTGGTTTCTCCAGCAGAGCGCACATCGCCACCTCCAGGAAGGCATGTCAACAGGCTTGTGCGCCTGCTGGGGATCCTCCTCAGGTTTGTTTAGAGGAGGGTTCCACCAAAAAGAGCCAGGACAGCCAAGAACAGCCAACAAAACACATATGCAATGTAAAACACATGAGCAAACTTATATCATGCACATGCACACACACACATACAGTTGCGCACACAAATTTCCGCACATTGCAAATAATCACAAACACGACAGAAAACACATGGACACCTATATATGCACACATACAGTTGCATTAACATAATTATCCATTTACACCCTATGTATTACGGAATAGATTAAAAACAGTCATTCATACAACAGTATAGCAATCACATGTACAGCCATCCTCAGAAGGATGGGCCAGAAAAAGACCACGCCAGTACTCGTGCCCGATACATGCATAGGTGTGACTCATCATACTTTAGAGAGAGAAATGCACAATCAAGCAGAAGTAGTGATAGATGGAGAAATACAGAGATATACAGACATAGAGATGGAGATATAGTTGTTATTGTTATACTGTGTGTATATGTTTGTATGTATGTATGTATGCATGTGTACATGTGTTTGTGTCTGTGTATATATCCAGTATCATGTCTACTGGATGATCAGAACACTTCTGCAACTGTTTCATGATATAATGAAAGACCATATGGTTAATGGTTAATGGTTAATGGTTAAAAGCAAAATAAATGTGCTAGACATCTAAGGTCATGTAGCACTATAGTAAATGGTAGTGAAGGTGGTTTAGTTAGTGATTAGTTGCCAAAGTTGGGCAAAGGAATTGACGAGTGAATGGGTTAAGGTCAGGTAAGGTAATGTAAAGGAATTAGATCAAGTGAAGGATATATATGCGTTTCAGGAAGGAAAAGAGGTTGTCAAAGCAGAAAGTGAGATTCTGTGAGGATGTCTGATAGGTTGGGAGGTCGGTGAAGGGAGGATAGGTGGGGGAAAGCAGAGGTACGGGCTGCATCAAAACATGGGCATGACAATAGAATGTGTGGAACTGAAAGAGGGACATTACAGAGGGAACATAGGGGTGGATCAGAGTGTGACATCAGATAGGAGGAGATTGATAGTTTTACAATGTGTAATTTATTAGTGCGGAGACTTGACCAGAAAGATTGCCATCGGTTAACAAGAAGGTCTTAAAGTGGTGGTAATAATCCGTGGCTGGGATACGTGAGAAACGTGGTTGATATGATGTGGACATAGCAGCGTAGCGTGCTAGAGTATCTGCCTGTTTGTTACGGGGGATTCCAACATGGCTGGGCACACAGCAAAATTTGATTGTTTTATGGGGTATGGACAGGTAGAATAACCAGTTCTGGATCTTATAAACAAGGGGGTTGGTCAAGTGTATTTACTTTATGAGAGTTAGTGAGTTACGGGAGTCAGTAAAAATTGTGAAAGAGGAGGAGGGGAGTGAGTATATCTGTTTTAAGGCAAAAAGGAGTGCATATAGTTCTGTAGTAAGGGCACTGGATTCAGGAGGAAGGGAGTACGAGTTGGAAAGGTTACTGCAAAACCAGCACCGGAGGTGGATTTGGAGCCATCAGTGTAAACATGAATACTGGAGGAATGAATGGATAGTTGCTGGAGCATACGGTAGTGAATACCGTCAGGGCCTTCATGAGTGTTGTGGCACGACTGTAAGGCAGCACTGAGTTCAGAGGAAGAAAAATGAGCATTATAGGACTCAGTGGAAGATAGGGTGAAGATAATGGGGGTGCATTCCCTGAGGGTATTAATAGAAGAGAGCCTGCCTACTTGTTTTTGAAGACATTGCTGGAAAAGAAGGATGTTGTCAGACTAGGGAGCTGTGGGAGGGATCACGAAAAATCGGTCCCATTTGGCTGGGCTAAATAGAGTATTTAAGATTTTTGTAGAGATGGAGGTAGTAGAAGCATAGGGGTGTGTGAATGAGGAAGTAGTGTTGAGGGAGGTAGTGTTATGGAGAGGTGGACAACAAGGCTGTAAAGTAGTAATAAGGGAGGATGGGGTAGTTGATGAAGAAGGTTGTTGGGGTAGAGGGGATGAAGTTGAGCATGTTGGGAGAGTAGAAATGTCTCTTGGGGGTTGAGTGTTGACTAGGGTGGATACTGTATTAGTAGGCATTGAGGAGGGGGTAGTTGTTGCAGTGTTCAGAGCCGTGGGCAAAGGAGAGACTGGGGTCAGGGAATAGATTTGGCTATTTGATGAAGGGGCAAGCCTCATTGCCCCTAATAATGGTATAACATCTTCATTGTTGGCCATGGTAAGCCTGAAGTATGTTGGGGAGAGAAACATTCCACCCCTCAGGGTCCCCTTGAAGGGTAAGGGCTCGGCAACTAAAGCAGGGGAATACCGTGCCCATGGCTCCCTCATGCCATTCAGGACTGGCACAAAGTCAGCCTTTCATCCTTTCAGCATGGCTCTCACACCTTAGGAAGTGGATAGTAGGGGTTAGGGAAAGGACAGAAACAAAAAAGTAGGAGGGGAAAAAAGACCATGCAAAATTAGTCGAGGGCCGAGTCCCAAGGTTGGGGAGTTCCACAGCATTGGGTCCCAGTCTCCACCTCCTAAGCCCCACCACGACAACAATGGGCAAGGGATTGGGGAGGGAGGACCATACAGTGCAGATCACTAGATGAAAGGCAATTACAAGTGCTTACATCTAACCCATCCGAACCTTGACTTTCCATAGCCTATAAGGAAATTTATTTATCTATTTACTGATAATTTTCAGCTGCATCGATATCTAGCTGGCATATTAAAATATGGTGATAAGGTGGGGTTTTGGGCGAAGTCCCCGGATAAGAATTTTTTTGGTTCATAAGACAATGTTTATGGAATTCCAGGATGGCCAAAGGGCAAAACAAACAAGTGTGCCAGATGTCAAAGGTCACACTGCATTATGACAAAGTATTGTGGCATAAAGGATAAAAATGAGTTAACATTAGGGGAATTCCCTACCTTGGACCCCAGTCTCCCTCTCCTTAGCCCCCACGACAACAATGGGCAAGGGATTGGGGAGGGAGGACCATACAGTGCAGATCACTAGATGAAAGGCAATTACAAGTGCTTACATCTAACCCATCCGAACCTTGACTTTCCATAGCCTATAAGGAAATTTATTTATCTATTTACTGATAATTTTCAGCTGCATCGATATCTAGCGGCATATTAAAAATATGGTGATAGGGTGGGGTTTTGGGCGAAGTCCCCGGATAAGAATTTTTTTGGTTCATAAGACAATGTTTATGGAATTCCAGGATGGCCAAAGGGCAAAACAAACAAGTGTGCCAGATGTCAAAGGTCACACTGCATTATGACAAAGTATTGTGGCATAAAGGATAAAAATGAGTTAACAATTAGGATAAGTGGACAGAAGAAGAGTGAAAAAGAGAAAGAAAAAGAAAGGAGAAGAAAAGCCCATGCAAAATTAGTTGAGGCAAGGGCTTTTGGGCGAAGTCCCCGGATAAGAATTTTTTTGGTCATAAGACAATGTTTATGGAATTCCCAGGATGGCCAAAGGGCAAAACAAACAAGTGTGCCAGATGTCAAAGGTCACACTGCATTATGACAAAGTATTGTGGCATAAAGGATAAAAATGAGTTAACAATTAGGATAAGTGGACAGAAGAAGAGTGAAAAAGAGAAAGAAAAAGAAAGGAGAAGAAAAGCCCATGCAAAATTAGTTGAGGCAAGGGCTGAGGTCCAAGTTAGGGGGAATTCCCTACCTTGGACCCCAGTCTCCCTCTCCTTAGCCCCCACGACAACAATGAGCAAGGGCATGAGGAGGGCCTACATGGGAAGCCTGCAAGCCACTCCTGAGAATAGAACATTTGTTCACTTTTCCATTGTTTGTTTCTTTTTTTCCTTCTTTTCATCTTGTTTTTTTTGTTGTTGTTGTTATATTAATTATTTATTCTTAATAAAGGAAGTTGAAAGAATTTTTTCCATTACAGATTTAACTACAGCTTAAATATATGAATTGGTAAATCAAACTATTACATATTACAGATAACATTATGTAATTTCAGATAGAATTTTCACAACTATTCTATACCAAAACTTTTCATACTGAAGCTTCTATTTTTTTCTATTACAGATAGACAACTATCTTTTTCGTCAGAGCATTGCTTTTTGCTCTTGAAAAAAATGTAATAAAACATTTTTCATTACCCTTACTTGAAACCCATAAAACATCCCTAAAACTTAGTATCTTTACCCATACAGTTTAGTTATAACATATAATATATATATATATATATATATATATATATATATATATATATATATATATATATATATATATATATATACATATATATATATCTGTGTGTGTGTATGTGTGTGAGTGTGTGAGCGTGTGTGTGTGAGAATGTGTGTGTGTGTGTGAGCGTGTGTGTGTGTGTGTGTGTGTGTGTGTGTGTGTGTGTGTGTGTGTGTGTGTGTGTGTGTGTGTGTGTGTGTGTGTGTGTGTGTGTGTGTGTGTGTGTGTGTGTGTGTGAAATTGTGTCAAAAATTTATGACAGTATACACAGTAAAGAAGATAATACTATTTCCCTTTGGTGTTGTGATTACAGGGGTAACAACAGACAATTTTTTTTAATGTATTTATGCACCAATGATTCACTCATATACACTAGATTGGTACTCAGGCAGCTCAGCAATTTTGGCATATAGCAAAGCAACATAATTCTATATCAATTATATATTTCTTAGGAAATCCTTGACACTATGCTTTTCTGAATTCTTGTGTAACTATCTTGTGGCACAGAAGTTGAATCTTGTAAATCCACTTGACACTTAATATTTGCAATTTTTATATAATTTTCGTGATTTTTGACATCACATCACTTATCACAGAATTCATTTAGCTGATCTGCCATGGCAACTCACAATTTTGTAAATTTTGAATGTACATTACATAAGAAATGACAAATTTAGATGTAACAAAGTATAAACACCACTTCTGAGGTCATGAAAATACCATACATAATCTTGCATTAAAACATGTTCAAAACACTGCTATGGATGTGTTTGGCACATCTTGTTCAAACCTCTGATCTAACAAACATATTTCAAGACACTGGCTTGGACATTTCCTGGCTAGTAGCACAATTAGGAACAGATTCTTGTTATTGTACAGTAGGTTTACCACCATGTAACCAATAATTTTTAAGGCAATGATTTAGGTACTGTGTGTACAAGGACTACATCAAGTTTTGAAAATTGCTAAATCTATATTCTTTAAATACAAATTTCCCATATATATATTTAACAGATCAACAGAAAATATCTAACAATATAAACTGTATGTATATTTCAAACAGTAACAAAATAGCTGTACTACTACTACTACTACTACTACTACTACTACTACTACTACTACTACTACTACTACTACTACTACTACTACTACTACTACTACAATAATATCTCCATCACTATTACTATTAAAAAGGCTACTCTCTAAGCTTAAAATCAATCCCTGAAACATTCATTCACAATGAGTGAGAATATGAGATTGTTTGAGTGAGTTATTCAACATGAAATCACAATACCACAGTCTACCACCATAACAGTTTTAATATTCCTACACTTTGCTGCTGCCTTAGCTACCTTCAGCCCTTTTTCCACCTTTCCAAACACACGTGGATCAATGTATGGAAACAGGGACTTTTTTGTGGTGATTGTGAACTGTGCAGCACGAGAATTATCTGAAACCCAGCCACCTACATCTCCTACAGAGCAAAATTCGTTATAATCTCCACTTCTAGTCAGACCTGGTATAAGAGTAGCTCCTCCATTACCATCATTGAATTCATAATCCCCTCCTACAATGCGTTCCCCTGGCAAGCCTTTACACACAACTCCAAAAAAGCGGCTGTTGGTATACGAAGGACCCAGTTCTCCTGTGCAGAGTAGCACAAACTGTTTTGCCATTGGAGTATCTCTAATAATTCTAATGTACACACGGCAGGGGAGTGAACCAGGCCAAGCTAGATCCAAGAATACCAGTCTGAAGGCTGGTCCAGTAGAAGCTATGACATCATAAAACTGGAAAAAATATATATTTCAATGAGGCAAATAATCTTAATGTGACTGTTTTTCATCTCATCCTGCCATCGTAAGAAATCCTAATATCAATAATTATAATAAGATATATTTAGACTCAAAATCACAAAGAAAGTATAATGTCACTTATTGAAATAGTATAATACTACTCAATCAGATATGATATACCTCACATGATTATATTATATTACTCACTGGAAGTGTATGGGGATACTGAGCTGTGCTGGGACAACCATTTTGAAGGTGGTGGAGACAGATGGCTCCATCATGTAAAGTTATTCTGCCATGACGAGTCTTGCCATGCTTGGTCAAGACAGCTGCAACCTTGCCAGCTTCAACTAACAGTCTAACAGGCATAGACAGTCCTTGTAGGCCTTCTATCTGGAAAAGAGGTGAACATGGTAAGAAATAATTAGAGAATCAGTCAAATCATAATAAGCTTATGCATAATGATGTATGCAAGTTGTGGTGAGAAATATTTATAGAATAAGTCAGTCATAATAAGCCTCTTCATGATGATGTGAAGTATTATACAGGTTATAGTGAGATATTATAGAATCAAAGTCATAATACACCTCTTCATAATGATTTGAAATTATTATGCAGGTTATGGTGAGAAATAAGTATAGAATCAGACAAATTAATAATAAGCCTCCTCATAATGATGTGAAAGTATATTACATGGTATGGAAGTCTTCAGAAAAATACTTACATACTAATTCATATGAATACTATGATATGAAATCTAACAAGAAACCTAGTTTTAAACTGATCTAAATATGGTACAGTATGAACTATTGACAAATAATGAAACCCAGGTAAACTTTCAAGCCTTCAAACACATAAATACTGAGCAAACTATTAGAAAGACACCACTTTGGGAGTTGAGACTATCATATGTTGAGTCATAGCAATTTGCTGTAACAACTGTTCAATATGAGGAAAAGTGACTTTTAGGTATAGTGTGATATTTTTGCTGGGAAAATAACTACAAATGTTTTTTATAGTGCCTTTTTCCTCTTTTAGGGCTTTTCCTGTGTTAGCATTGTAGATAATTTGGTAAGGTAGTGGAGGGCAGCAATGGACAAGCATGAAAATCACTAGTTAAGTTAGGAGTCGTATCTATAACACTAGAAGCAGAGATTACAGTTGGTTTATGGCAGTTTTATAAGTGCACCTGGAAACAAGAAACTAGTGACTGCCACTTAAAATCTTAGACCAATACTTAATGTGAGTTGCTGAAATGTTTCAATTACCATTATGATGACTATTTACTGAATATATTCACTTTCTCACTGTTAAATTTTTATAAATAACTTTTATCATTCTCATTTTCATAATAACAATATCAGTTCACTTCCTATTAAATCAATAAATCAGCTTTATTACAGAAAAAAAGTTCAACTTGTTACTTACTGTTACAGTTTCCGCTGTTATGCCAATGATGGTATTGACCTTCTCAAGGACAGTTGCATTGTGTGTTCTATTGACTACTCTGTTAACAGAAGCTGCAACATCTGCATCCTGCACACAAGCACCTATTTCTTGGTTCATTAACTCTATGGTCCTTTTGGTAGAATGCAGCAACTGACAAAAAAAGTAACCTCATCAAGAACAATATAAAATAATGACCAGGATACAATGTAATACTATACCACATTAACTGACATATCAAAATATTAAACAATTTGCACACAGATAGCTCTACATGTGCTCAGCTAACAAGGAGTCAGTTAGCAGGCCCTAGTGACCGCACCTGATTTCTGCATTACTTGAATTTGTAGGATTCTATTTCAATATTATCAATAACAGTAGTTATTATTTTTGAAATCATGATTTTTATAATGTTAGGATACTAATAAAAAGTACACAATAACAAATAAGAACCCTTCCAAAAAGCAAGGAAAAAGGGTAAACAGGTGAGATGTGTAGGACTAATAATCAACTCCTTGGTGACTAAGTACTTGTGGAGCTATAACAATTAATAAACTAAAATAACAGTGGACAAGGCATGAATTTTTGCCATCTGGGACTTCTGAATTCATCATACTCACACAACTTTGATAATATCACAGAAAATAAGAAAATACTACACACACATCCTTGTGTAAAAATATAGATCTCACCTTAGCCGACTGCTGGATGGCACTCACATCTGGAAGTGTGCCATTGCACAGTTTGATCCACTCTAATGTAACAGCATGACACTGTTCCGCCCTGCTGATGGCCGTATCTGTATCCATCCCCTTGTCACTGGTATGAAGAGTTTCAGCTGCTTCCTGTAACATGCGGTACTGTTGTTCACCTTGTCCTTGAAGATCGGTCAACCTGCTCTTTTCCTTCTTCAGGAGTTGCTGTGCATTCATGTGACTCTGGATCATCTCTGTGAGATTCTTAATTTGTTCCTCATGTTCTGTTATCAAGTTATCCAAAGTTGTGTTGTAGGTACGGAGTTGAGTTTGCATTTGATTACAATCTGAAGTCCCACTACTGACTGCCAGCTGCATTATTCTCAGTTTGGCTGGTTCTCTTGCAATATCCTGTTGGGGTTCTAGCACTTCTCTTTCCCCTGGTGAAGCTAAGTTAATGCTTGATAGCAACTCTTCAAAATCATAGGCAATGGGGATTTGCATTATGTCAGGAATG